ACATAAACCGGCTGACGGCTACGCTCGGACCGCCCGTCTACACTTTGAGAAGAGTGGTCGCGACGCGAAAGAACACGTACAGCAATTCCTGGCAACATGCGACGATGACAAGCTAGCGGAGAGTCTCTACCACGCTCGAGTCGCCGACATTCACGAGCTCGAAGAGATCATCGAAGATGTACTCATGGGAAAGGAGATAATGGCCAAGCGTGACAGTGAGTACCGATACTCCAAGAGTCGTGATACGCGACGCGACGATGGGTACGCCCGCAACAACCGGCGTGATGACCGTCGCCGCGATGACAACCGCAACAAGCCAAGAGTGACACTCATTGGAAGCCACGGTGGAAGACCTACTAGCTGAATTAGAAGGTCGTGAAGCTGCTCAGGAGGCACCGAGTATTCAAACGAAGATCCGAACGCTTACCACGATGTCCCAGATGAGAACAACGACTTTCAGCCTGATAGTACGGACGGTGATTCTCATTGGACGAAAACGACGATACCTCGCCGCGGCTAACGAAAATGAGCGCCGTGCAGCTGCTGAAGGCACCTACGCACGTTTCAGACAACCGTCAACCACGTGGAAACATGCCCTGATCGCGATATGGCTTCAATCAAGATCGCCGAGGTGGTGACCGTGGGTTCAATCAGGACCAACGCGGTCGACGTGACTTCAACGCGACACCGACGCCCACAGTACGGACCATGCGCGGTGTGCGGTGGCATGAGTCACTCCGCTCACTACTGTAACAAGCGATGCAAGTTCTGCAAACACTTCACGATGCTGGACAATGCGGACTTTTCCGCACCTCCAAGACCTTGCCAAATTTGTGCGTACTAAGGACACGAAGGAGGAACTCCCGCCAGAGCTCAAGGCCGTCGTTCAAGAACGTCATTTAAACTAGACAGCCCGCCAACTACAACTGGGTTGGTCCCTATCGGGCTGTCACAGTTTACCGAGCCTTCAATGGAAGCAGAGTGTATCTTTGCTTTTGCACTGATAAGTTTCGTAGCCGTTAGTGAGACAGCATCGTCGTCCGGGCCGGCGGGCGGCCGGCCCGCCCCTATGAAACTACCGGCACTTGCATTTGCAGGTCTCAGCAGCTAATGCCCAGGTCAAGTTGTGTCCATCTAAAGCAGCATACAATTGCCAAGTCAAAGTTTCGCGGGGAAAGATGCTGCGAAAGCAACTAGAAAGGCACCCATTGGCCCATGCGAGAGGGCACGCAGAAAGTTCCCTTGCACCACTGTGGTGCTGCGCGGGCCAATGAGCTCTTCATTTCCGATTTGGCCAGCAAAGCTCGAAGTCTCGACGGGGATCAGGCCAAGATGCCAGTGTCCGGGACACTGGCCGTTACGGGTGCGCTTTGACCTTTTGGTTCACTGACAACGCTGCATAACCTGACTCTTTGCCGTTTACTTGTTGCCAGTCCATCGACTCGAGGCTGCGGAAGCCCGCGACCCGGGAGAAAAGCTCAGCATACGATTGGCTGTGGGCAACAACGAGCGCCACACGAAGTTCGTGTCGGTCGACAGCGATATCGACGAAACCCTGCACTAGTACGTCGCCCCCCCCCTTCCATGATATCTGGAAACACTTATCTAACTTTGTTGTGTTCGTAACTGCAACGCAATCATTGTGATTACTCCAGCAATGTGCAACACACGGCCGAGTCCGAGGAAGTTACGATTGAAGTGCTCCAGCAAGATCAGACGAAGCCTTTGGTGTCTGCCAAGCGCACGCTTCGAGAGCTCATGCAGGGCTTGCAGAGCCACCGTATGACGTTCACATTCGGCTCGCTGATGTCTCCTCAGACGATGTTTCTGATCTTCAGTACCGACTGGACGCCTTCCAAGCAAGAGGACAAGGTTCTAGCTCCTGCGACGCACCGCCCATGGTTCATGCGTGCTTCGTACTACTACAAGACGACCAAGAACGTGTACGACTACACGACCAGTTTCAGTGTAGTGAAGCCATTTGCTCGTCTGGGTGAAGCTACAGTCAACACTGTGCTGGCCACAGTAACAGGCAAGACGCTGTTCGACGTGGATCAATCACTCGTCGTGCCAGTTCTTGACTCTGTGGACAACAAGGTGGATGCCACAATCTCTGTGGCGTTCACGAAGCTCTACGAAGGCCAGCAATTCGCTGTTAACACCAAGAACAAGGCTGTTAACGCCGTGTCGAACGTCGCCTACAAGACTGGCAACACTGCCGTCCGGGCCACCAACTACACGACGCACAAGGTGGCATCAGCCACGGGCGCCGTGTACGGAACTGTAACGGGCGCGGCGGATTACGCGAGTTCGCAAGTGAAACACGCGTCGTCGTCGACTTATGGCGCCGTGCGGGGTGTGACGTATTCTGTTGCGAGCTATATACCTATACTCGGGCACAAAATACGGGCTTGAGGTGGGGAGCCGACAGTAGGTCACCCCACCGGTAACAGGAACTATGTGAGTGTTGCTCGCAACTCTCGCCGACGTGCATGCGAAGGATATCAAGAAAAAAAGAAAAGAAAAAACAAAGTGACAGGTCAAGAAAAAAAGGAGTATAAACGGCGTAGAACGCTGTGGGGAGGACTAAGGGAGCATGACGACGGAGCGGTGACGCAGCCCACGAACAAGATTTAAATATGTGTTGCTACGTGGACAAGAACCTCCAAGCATGACGCCGGCTTCTTCGTTGAAGGAGGACTGTATTGCGAGTGCTTGGACCGCGAGGGAAATGAGGGAGGAGTTACCGCGGGACGGATTCCGACAGAAAGGGACCAAAACAATTTTATGAGAAAACGGGGTCCACGTAGAGAAAAGGCAATGAATATAAATTGTTTTTTTTTTTCACCTTTGATTTTTTGCTCTTGGTTGTGGCAGCAGTTGGTGATTGTGACGCATCAATTGGTTGTGGCATTTTGACGATAGAAGGCATGTTGCTGATACTTACGTAGTACGTACACAGAGAATTCAGAATTAAGTTTTGCGTTAAAAGAGGGAGACTCACGCTGCATCAATTTTTTCATCCTGCTTCGTAGGCAGTACGATAAACCAAGAGTTCTGATACATGCATAGGATCACGCACTTCGATGTTTAGCTTGTTTAATTCGAAGTTAAGAAAAATTCCGTTTAGGGAGACGTAGTCTTTTATTTCAATTCAATGATTTACTTTTCCTTGGAAGCCTTGTAATAACGTTTAAGACGCGACTTCGTCGGTCTGGATACACGCGTCGGTTTGCTTTCGATCGGCATTACTAGTCCTCGGATAGCTAGCGATTGCAGTTCTACGACGTAGCTAAATTTCTGGATGATGCGTTTTGGATACGGCGATCTAAACGAAAACATTCATGTCCACGTATCAATTACAGGAGAAGATGGAGTTTGTTTTATAAACTTTGGAGAAGATGAAGTTTGTTGCTGTTCCCTTCGAAAAGGACGATGATAGGTGCGCGGTCAAGTATCAGCAACATGCCTTCTATCGTCAAAATGCCACAACCAATTGATGCGTCACAATCACCACAACCAAGAGCAAAAAATCAAAGGTGAAAAAAAAAACAATTTATATTCATTGCCTTTTCTCTACGTGGACCCCGTTTTCTCATAAAATTGTTTTGGTCCCTTTCTGTCGGAATCCGTCCCGCGGTAACTCCTCCCTCATTTCCCTCGCGGTCCAAGCACTCGCAATACAGTCCTCCTTCAACGAAGAAGCCGGCGTCATGCTTGGAGGTTCTTGTCCACGTAGCAACACATATTTAAATCTTGTTCGTGGGCTGCGTCACCGCTCCGTCGTCATGCTCCCTTAGTCCTCACCACTATACGTACTACGTAGTATAGCTTAGGTATTAATAGTTAATTTTAACCACTCTCTGGCGATTTGCACCACAGGGCGAAGAAAACATGATGGCAGAACCCATTTAAAACCTGCCCTAATTTCAGTAATATCCATTTTTCTGTAAATTAATGCCATCCGTGGCACTACCTGTCATTTTATTTACTTTAAACTCTAGCCCTAGCAAGCGCTCATCCAATCGGATCACTGCATTTCGTGCCATGGCATGGTATGGCGTGGTTAAGAACGGCCCTTAGAAACCTCTTTGCACGAGTTCTTCACCTTAAACCTTCCACGACTACAGAAGTTCAATCTCTTTAAAGAGACATGTATAATTCAAAGTTAAAGAGCTTTTTTACAGTATGCAAATTTTACAAAAAGATAAATATAACGTTATTTAGAATGTTTAAAAAAATAAACATAAAACGCAAGTATTGTTGCTTTATTAAAATGATTTTTTTTATTATTATATAGGTACTGCATTGATATCATTTAGCCTAGCTAAACAGATCAGGGCTTGGCGAATGCATTACTACCTCCGCTCGGAAAAAGATAACCATTTCAAATTATATTACAGCCTACCCAACAAACTACCCTCTCTATGCCGATCACTTTTTGGATTTCGAATCTCCCGCGCTTTCCCGACCAGGGCTCCCAGCTTTCATTTTGAAAACTGGCACCTGGGGGACATCACAGACAGTGAGCGCCAGGCCGTGTGGGAGACCCTACTGCTTCGCAGCGTGGGAGAAGTGGTCAACCATGGAGAGATCGTTCGGGCTGCAGCGTACTTCCGTGTGGGCCGCCAAGTTGTCGAACGAATTTGGAGGCGTGGAATCAATTCGATGGGAGATCGAGTAGCAGTCGTGGTCAAGTCAAGGAAGAGCGCATGTGGTAGGAAGAAGGTCCATCGAGCTGAGCTGTGCGAGAGAATCGCTGCAGTTCCTGTCAATGAGCGCGAAAACCAGCGTCTGCTTCAGCGCGCGTCGAACATGAGCTACTACCTGGTTTAGCTGCTGAATAAGGAAGGCTACATACGGCGTGCACTCAGACAGACCCGTCCACTACTTACACCCACGCACAAGTTGGCGCGCCTCCGCCACAAGGACAAGCAAGTACGAGCTGGCACTCTCCCTACGTCTCTGCCTTGTGACGCTACCTCACTCGCCAATGCTAACGCGTACATGCTGCTTCTTGCAGCGAGCAGCCCCCCACCGCCTACCGCTGAAGTTCCAGAAGCCCCACTGAGCGCCCCTTCAGAATGTGGCGATGTAGTTGCCGTCTTAGATCCGTTTTTGTATCTGTAGTTGCACGGCGGAGCATGAACGCCTGTGCCTTGCTTAGTTTCTCACTGTCAGCTCTCGGTCATAAAGCTAGCTAGCCAGCCTCTCACAAATTAATATACGCTCAAATGAACGAGGCGGAGCGCTGCGCAAAAAAAACAAATGGTTATCTTTTTCCGAACGGAGGTAGTAGAAGATAGTAGCTGTGATCATAACTAATGTAAATACTACAGAACTACGTCCTGCAGTACGTTTGAGAAATAAAAAGGATACGGATTGGTTGTAAGTTATTTCGAAATTGAGGGAGCTTGTGCACACTTAATCAAGCTTCTAACGCTTTCGGCAGTCCTAGCTCCTAGTCCGACTGTAGACCATGAGGTTCTCCGACGAACTCCTTTTCGGTAAAATTGGTTTGAGGCCCTGGAGAAGGTGCGTCACTAGTTTGAAGAATTTTAGTATCGATCCGCACGGTTTGCTAAAAACACGCTCCTGCAAAATGCTGTTTAGCAGTTTTGATCACTTAATTAGCCTGAAGATCCACCTGTGCGCTACAAAGTTTAACGCTGTATTGATTTCGGCTGGAATGTTTTTTTTATCAGGTAGGACGGATGTGGGGAATCACGAGGGTGGAGCCGGTAGGATCGAATCTGTCAACTTGACCTACAGCTTTGTCTTACTCGCACCACGTGGATCCTTCATCGCCCATGTGGCACGTTTGACCCCCGTCACAATCGAGGTCGCATATGGGGCTAACGGCAGCGTCGGCAGAGGAGAAAGCCAGGAGGACAGCGACGGCGAAACTGAGGATGATCGACGACTTGAACATGGTACAACGGTGTCTACCAAATGCGGGTTTGAAGGCGAAATGCGGAGTGACTCGGTTGTTGCGGTGGCAACGATTGAAGACGAGAAGGTGTTTTACATGTACCGGTACTGTAGTTAGCCAAGGCAGACAGGTGGATCACCAACCTTAATGATGACGTACCACAACAGAATCATGATGACGGTAGTACGTCATCATCTCATAAATGTCACCTACCGATACAATTGTGCGTGTTAATAAGGCCGTGTTCGATTTAAGCTAAAACCAGCTGTAATTGGTATTAAAGAGCTGGAATGTCTCAACCAGCTAAGAAACACAAAAAATGATAGCTCCAAACGACTGGTTTCAAAATTTAGCTCTGGGTTGAATTTTGAATCGTCCTTCTTTGCGCCTTCAAATCCAGCCTTTTTCTGATGGAACACGATCACTTATTTTATCTTTATTTTACTTAACAAAACGACTGTTCTACAGCTCTAGCTTATTTTCGAACAAAGTTAAATACCACCTGCGACACTGACTGGATCTGTCGCACGATCAAACCGCCTCTCTCCCTCGTAAGGTAAACATTTCTGCAGAGCACGAAGCGCATCGATTGGTTGCAAACAGCCAGGCGAGGTGCGCAGAAACTTGATTATCGACATTCAGCTACGCAAAACCTATCGTATGTACTGCAAATCGGGCACCGTAACCTGCCCATGCAGTTAATGCTCTGCGTTGTTATTTTCACACGTTTTTCAAAGTAGAGACGATATATTTATCTATTAGTACCACTCTGTTCCATCTCAAATCTAACACTTCTCCTTTGCTGACATATTTATTAAACTAATGGTGTGATTTAGCTAAACGAGCCCACCACGGAAAGCCCTGCCTTAGCTCTATAAAGCAGTATTTTTTTGGTAGATCATAGTCAAAGAGCAACGAAGTACAGAGCAAAAGAGCGTCATTCGTTTTGACGGGGTGGACGTCTGGTTTCGCAGTGGGCTTCTCAGTGTTGAAAAATTGCTGAGGTTTTCAGAAGAGATCGATTTTGCTACGGTCTTACAAGATGTGAAAATAGTTCTTCAAAAGCTGCTGTCTGTGCCGCGTTTGCCTGAAAAACGCTTTTGACCAATTACATCTATGTATTTACAATCTGACAAAGTTTAGATCTCGCAAAAGGTGAAAATAAATAAAACAAGGTGTGTAGAAAAGAGTTCATCATAAAATAAAAGATACATGTACTAATTTTGAGTTGGTGGCCCTTCATTTTATTATGTGTCTCCTGGCCCTTTTTGCCAAAGGGTCGCAAGGCAATGAGGTTGGAAGCACTCCGTTGCGAATGTGGTGCTTCGAAACTCGGGGGAGTTTGTATGTATCACACGCAATGACAGATTCTGGTATTTTTTGTGCTGTCAAAAAGCACTTATCTATAGTCCTACTAGAAAGATCACAGTAAGTTTTTTCAGCTTCCGCAATTAAAGCATCGATCTTGTACATTGGTGTGCGGTATTGAGCCGACTGTAGCAAGTTAAACAGACCCCATTCGAGTACGTTCATATCGGGCGACTTAGCTGGCTGGTATTTGATAGCGATGTTGACAACATCAACATTTGTTGTGCCTGCCGTTAGAGCGATCAGACGGCAGCACATCATGCTTATCTGCACAGCTGATACGTATTATGTAGCTGGTAGCCACAAATTGAAAAAATAGCAAATCTCTATTCTTAGCCTAATAATAGCCAATGATATCATTTATTTTTGTGCGGTCGCTCGTTGCGTTAGATTTGAGATGGAACAGAGTAGTAATGCACTTGGATATTTGAAAAATTGAAACTTAGCACACTTCAACAAAACTAAAAGTGGTTGGCCGAAGATTACCGTACTATGGTAACGAAATCACCAAAACTTGTCTGGCGGAGGGAGTTAGTTTATTTGGGTCAAATGAAGATAACAATATCAAATTGAGCAGATAATACGGTTTGGCATTTTTTATTAAAATTTATTTTATCATTGATCCATTACTGTGGCAAACGGCTTCACCGTTTTGTTAAGCGCAGTAGTCCCATAAACTCGTTTCTTTTTTTTTGTTCTACCTACTCAACTATTTTAATCATAAACAAGTCATAATTCTCATCCAATTTAGCTTTTCGTATAGAGATTTGCTTCTAGTTAACCCCTCTTTAGGAAGTATTCTTTATTCTACATAATAAGCCTTTTTACCGTATAATATATCTTGCAAACTTGGATACACAAGTAATCCTCGCACGTTAATATTGTGTAAAGATCAAAAATCAGTTAAAATTTTCTGTTTAAATGGCGAGGAGTAGATAGACGGGGATTATTCAGTGATGATAGAAAGACAAACCTTATCCAGGTCTGAAAAAAAAACGACGACGTGTGTCGACCACTCGCTCTACCTCGCTCAGAAAATACACTGCCCGAAAGAAGCTGCACAAGAGAGGCAACTTGACGTATCCGGGCGAGACGCCAACGTCTATAAAGTGTGCTACACGAAGTCAAGTACCCAGGAACGTCTTGACGGATCAGGGCGAGACGTCAATTTCTCGAAGTTGTGTGAGCACTACTAAATAGTGGTGCTGGCGTTCTTATCTTGCTACGTATTTAACAGGATTGTAAAGTTCTTGCGCAGCATACTAGGCTTCTTTCACTACGTGAGATATAAAGTCGGTGCTCAACTAGATATGAGGATGCTATTCTCGATGTTACAGATGCGTGCGACCTTGAAGGCCACGGTAGTCCAAATACCCACGTCAAGTGGCTCTACAAGCAGAATGAAGGCTACAGCGGTAGAGAAGGATCGACATCCCCAATAATGCGACGACGATGGACTCATACAAGATAGAACAAGTCAGGGGCAACGCCATTTGTCATAACGATACAGAATAAGCCATTGTAATACAAACCCAAATCTGTTTTATACTGCCGGATATATAATGTTTGTTTGTCGGATATAAGTAAGTCGCTGAACGCTAACTAACAGAAAGGTGGTGGTGTGGTGATGTGTGTTTGTGTTTGTAAAGGAGGAGGGGGGGGGGGCTAATCTCTTATTGCATTTAAGCACGAAATAAACTGTTTAATTCCTCCTCACTAATCCTTTAGTTAGGAGCGGTGCAATTTTTTCCTCTACACATAGCTCAGGCTGTATTTCTGGCAGCCAATATGGCTGGCGCCAACGGCTTCCTCAGCCGCATCAAAAGGGAAGGGTGTTGATCTCATGAAGGTTTTGGCTCCACTTTACTCATTTATCAGCCAATACGCACTCTCAAATACTACAGATGATCAGGCATCTACAAATCTGGCATTTGCCCAATTTGACTGATTTGACCTGAATCTGGCATTCCGACGACACAGGAAATGGCACCAACCTGGCACCATACTAAAGGTAGTATTGACGTACATCGGGGGGATCTTCTTAATCCAAATGTGTCGTATTTCTTGTCTGTTAGAGCGCTACTAGACTATTCATTGATCTCGAGGCCTGTTATACTCTCAAGCAGATCGTACTGTTTAGAGTGTAAGGCTCCTTCAAGGGAGAAATTCGTCAGCCTGCTTTTTGAAAGGTTTTTATTCCACTTCAGAACAGAAAATTCGCTTTCAACTGAAGATGTACCAGGAAATGTAGTCGCAAGTCCTCCAGCAAAACGACGTAGCATCTGAAATCTCCCGCATATATCCTTCTAAGCATCGTCGAAAGTTGTCACGGTCTTAAGTTCCGATGATGCCTCGTCAATTTGACGTCGAAATTCGGCTTGCGAAGCATAAAGGTCGGTTAGAGCGGCATGCTCTTGCTCAATCATGCCAATCTCCACCTCACTCCATCGTGAATGCAACCTATCACGGTGTAAATTGATAAGAGCTGATATATATCTCCCCTTCAGTTCAATCAAGTCGCGTGGTAGCGCCGGGGGAGTGTTCCCTTCCAACAGTTTATTTTTGTTGTTCCGTTCTGGTTCAATGATGTTCACACTAGCAACCAAATTCGTAATTACAAGAGCAAAGTCATTGGAATAGCCAATAGGTGTAAATTGATAATTTGTCCACAGTGAAATAGGCGGATCCGAGTATCCAAATAGGAAACTGACATGTGAGTCGACATGTCAAGTGCAACTGAAAACGTCCAAGCGGCGCAAAGCAACAGCTTAATCTTCTGTAAGCTCATCGCACAAACGAACCGCGCGTACTTCGATGGAAGATCAGGAGAACATGATCCAATAGAAGCCAGTCCTGTTCGTTGTTTTATATTTGTTAATACTGATAGCGCCATTCGAAACGACATTCCATAGCTTAAGTAGTCCACTATTAATTGAAACTGAAGAGGATCGTTGATGATCAAGACATTATGAGTGCCAGAATCGTCGCGTTTGAATGCAGCTTTCTTAGTTCGCTCCCACGAAAAACTGTTTTCGTCACCATCCAGCAATATCTGCTCAATTATTTCATCGACAATACGGGTACCAATTGAAACAACAATAGGTGCTTGTTTTTCGCTAGCAAATGACCGAATTGTAGCTCGAAATGGCTTCACGTCATCGAAGAAGACACGCTTTGCTTCAGATGAAAGCTGCTCGTACTGTGCCCACCTACTAGGATGCTGAGAGAGAAGGTGGTTTCGGTCGGTACGCCTCAAAAACGGAAGGGATACTTGTAAAATTTGTTAGTCTGGATCACTTTTCTCTTGGAATCCACCTCCTCTTCCCTGCCAAACATCATGCAAAAGCGGCATGCAACAGCCAGTATGAAGCCGCTCGTTGGACTTCACTCACTGACTGCTAGACCGAATTCGAGAAGATGACTATCTTGGAATGGGGTTGAACGACCTTTCTGTTTGCCAGACATTCGAGCCTGTATTAGCTGGTACGGGGACTCGCCATTCCCTCTGTCGTCCTGCTCAGCCATAACACCGTGGAGATTGATCTGGAAGCCGCCAGTATTGCAATCACAGGAACCAACGACGGAGAAGAATAGTTTTCTTCATGAAACCTGGCATTTTCTAAGAATAGGATTTGGCGCGAATGCCAGAAATAGATTGAAATGCCAGATTAGTAGATGCCTGTAGATGATGGATATATAGCGTGTTTTATGTTTTTATTCGCGGTGGCTTTGTTTATATGTTGTCCATTCCTTGACCGCTTAGCGCAAAGGGCTTACATCAACATAGTTTTTGCAGAATTGACAGTGTAATTAACCTTAGATGTTTGCTTGTTTTGTAGAATACACAATAAATCCCCGCTCTACAGGGGTTGAGCCAAAACAGAGCTCTTAAGTGTCGGGACGATGAGGGCGTTTCCACCCACCTAGCCAAAGTCAGCAACACTCCTAATTTAGTAATGAGATGGCGGAATACCAAGACTTTAAACGTCATCACATCAAAGCGATTGCTGCATCGGGCCGCTAAATGCTCTTACTTTCAATTCTACATTATCCACATGCCCCCGCCCCCCATACACACCCCACGCTGGCCAAATTCCGTCTTTGACATCACGTCAGAAGTCTCGTGTCCGAAGACATTCTTTTCAGCTCATACCACTCTGAAGGCTATTATCCTGACTCGGATCGCTCCGACTCCAGCAATTTTTCATACTGTACCATCCCGACCCAGACCATTCTGAGTTGGACTATTCCAGAATGTACCTTTCCGACCCAGACCATTCTGAGTCGGACTATTCCCATCTCTCCCAACTCAAATCATTCCGACTTAGACCAGCTCGGAATAAGTAATCACGGCGGTGAATGCATGAGGGATGTGTCGTCTGGCTATATCGAGCTTATGCGAAGTCAGTCGCTTAGCTCGGATGCACAAGAGGACGATGGTCGCCAAGCTGAAGTTGCCGACGAGAGTGCTGACCTTTAGCTTTCTAATGCCGTCAAAGCTGTTCCATGTTCGCGGTCTGTAGGTGGACTCACTAGGGGCTACCACTGTACTGCTTAGGCAAGTTATAAGTGTCAAGAATGAGTGTCGTCCTTCGAGGGAGGCACAAATCTGACTGAGTTCCATGAATGCGCCAAATTCCGAATGGACCTCCGCCAACGTTTGTCAATCGGAAGCTAAAACGCTTTTGGCGACATATGAAATGCGTATCCGCGATGCTACTTTTATTCCGCGAGAAATATGGCAAGCGATTGAAGACTTCCAAAAATGATCTATGCCATTTAACCAAACCTCTTCCTTACGGAGGAACATGTGAGTACTAGGTTTGTAGTAAACGAAGATACGACACTAAAGACGCATTACCAGTCACCTCGCTAGGTTCGAACCAAGATATCTGATTAGAAAGGTACAACGCTAACCAGACTTTATAAATTCCTGGCGCTACTCCGCAATTTGCAAGGTAAAAGAGCAAGCCACAACTACCAGCAATGCCTTAGCGCGGAAACGGCACCTCCAAAAGCAAGACGAAGGTCAAGAACTTCGTCATGAGTACATGTGTAGTTGCGCCATGTTTATGAAAATCATTTCGGCTAATTGATCTTCTCAGGAATATTGAAGTTTGCGTAAAGGGTACTTCCGTTTGGCACCGGGCAATGGCAAAACGTGGCCACGCATTTTAGTACCAACGTTCCTGTTGGATAGACTGAAAGAGACGGAGACAGTCTGAAACGGCAGTTTCAAAAACCTTTCGTGTACCAAAACTGACGAGGGCGCTAGTTTATCACTCTTTTCTTTAATTTTGATGTTTGCTTAATGTAATGAGCATTTACAGGAGATGGTGCATACCTCGAAGAGGTGCAGCGCTCCAAGCTCATGTATTATACTATTGAAGCAGCGCTTTCTGTCATTGATTTGCACGAGGATTCGTCGGACGAGGAGGAAGAGGCATCGCTTAAGGAAGAAGAAAAAGGGTCCTGGTGCCAGATGTGGAATGGCATTCGTCAACACGGTATCCCTGAACCTAACATCAATTTACCGGAAGCTTTTTGCCGTCCTTACGTACTTACATCAGGACCAACTAAAATGGGTCGACCACCGAGAATTACGTCCGAAACAACGTTCTAGCCTGTCTGATGCATATGTACACCACTTTGCGAGCTCGGACGGCTCCATACCCGCTCTTGCTGTAGCACTCAACGGTTTTGGCATGCTTGAAGTCACGGTGTCTGTGCTGGGTATTACATCGGTGGAAAAAGAGGCAGATACTGCAAGTGCTAAGTTGCTACTTGAAACAGTAGAGCTTAGTCTTTCCCGTCCGTACCTTCATCAAAGTAACAGCCCACGTGCACTGCGCATTTGACGTCAAAGCACCCGAGCTCTGATAGTTGCGCTGATAGTCTAATATTTACGTCGCACTACTCCCGCTTGTGTTGATTGTATCGAGGGCGGGAAACAGCTACAAAAAATAGCATCTCCCTTAGATGGTTTGGGTTTGCTACAGCGATGATAGGAACGTCATCGTTGCCAGTAAGGTAATTCGGCTTTTGTTTCTTAGAAATGCAAAATCATTTCTCGTCGAAATGAACGGTATCATACATAGCACTGAATCGGTAGATATCATCTGAGTAAAAAGAAATTATTAGTAACATAAGTAAAATAAAAAAAGTATTAAGATTACGTACCACGACTTAGCTTCACGAACGACAACCAAAAACCGAGCCGCTTATTTATCTGCGCAGACGTGAGGAGGGGGATCGAAGTCCCCGAGCCTCGGCAAATCAATATCCATTCACTATCGCGCAGACGAGATATGTGCGTGGTATAGCCGTTGTTGCATGAAGCACACGGAATGAAGAGCGTTCAGCCGCAGACACAGCCTCCGTGACCTCTTGTATGGCTTCGGGTGTCCAGAAACGGACCAAACCTCGCGCAACATTAGGTGGGTCTTCGTCGCGCGCGTAAAACGACGCGCTGACTGTTTGTCAGGTACAGTAAAATTTGATTGGCTGCTTCGGAGATGCAACTGTGGAAAAGCTTTCCCTTGTTCATGCGCTCGAGCAGGTAATGAATGCCGCGTATGTGATCCAAGTGGTCATGAGGTGGTGGGGGTCTGTAGAGTCGTCCATCGACGTGTTAAGGTGCTGGAAACGGAGGAATTAGTGGGGTAGCATTCACGACGCTGGAGTCTGCGAAATCGGTGAAGCGACAGCCATGAATAAGTTTTGAACATACAAAATAACCAATCGAACTGGTCCAAATGTTTGTCACATCATATTCAAATGCTAACAAATGGGACGGAGGCACTATGCCTTTCTGTCGCTTTACCGCTTTGCAAACGTAGCTCCGAAGGAGCCCGGGGGAGATCCGAAGCCCCGGGGGGACCTTTCTAAGCTGTAATGGTGACCAGTAAAGTTTGCCATAATTATCGATTAATCTGACAAGGCAAAATACCTGACATTCGGCTCGCTCTTTGTGTTTGCACACGTGGCTCCCATTCATACATTTATCGGATCAAGAGCAAGCAAATGGCTGGATGCGAGGACACGAGGATAAAGTAAATCTCGGACCAAGAACCGAACACAGCACTGCCCAAAACGCATGCACTCCAGCACCGTCGTAGCTCAACGACAGAGTCCCGAAATCAGGTGACGGAGGTTCAATTTCCCCAGAGGTAATACTTCGGCGTACATTAAATGTGGTGTAGTGTGTGATGGTGCAGTTACAAGTTGCCGGTTGGCTGTGGGGGGAGCTTCTGAGCTTCGATTCACAGGTTATGTGTAAGTAAATAATGAGAGATGTGGATAAGATTAGAGGAACACTGCTTGTGAGGATGTTGTTGTTTACGTGAAAGAGGAGCTTACCTATGCAGACTAATGACTAGTAACTTTGCAAATTGGCTACAGCAACCATCAGGCCCAAGCAGCGATACGACTTCATTACGTAGACGCAGTTCCCATCATACTAACAGTGTACCAAGACATCTAAAGCAGCGGTGCCCACCAACGATTCAATGCGGTGTTGATAGAGAGTCGCGTACTCTGCGTCGTGTGCAGCAGCCCGTTAAGAGCTTTGGTGGGTATCCGTGCAGGCTGCAGATGCAATGGGTCAACGAGCTACCGCACGAATAGCTGCGCGCTCCGACGTTTCGCAAAGTTACTTCTCAAACTGTGAGGATGGAGAGTATCCCGCTTCCAGAGTCACTGCCGTGTCGCCTCAGCATCAAGAATGATGAGCACTTCGCCGCGTGTGGCGACAAGGGCCCTGCACCTTCTGCATCCGTGTACAAACTAGTCGCCCAATATTGAAACATATTCCGAGAGCAAATCAAGTGAGGATCAGACTTCGACATCTATTTAAAGCCCAGTAACGACGCAAAGCAGAACCGCTTCGGATTGCATGCCAAGAGACAGCGGCACTTATCGCTCAGCTAAAGGATGTGTCGAGCAGGACAAAATGGAGGCGCAATGGTCAGACATGGTTCTCGTTGTCTACGTACCTAATCATAAAGCGCAGACCTCTCTTCGCCGTGCAAATGCTGCCCGAATTCAAGCGTAGATGTCTAGCATTTCTGAGAGAGCAGCCGATTGAAGCTGAACCTGCGACTGAAAGGTACATGGCCGTCACGCCCGCAAGATTATTGTAAGAGACTCCCTAAGAAAGTACCGGATATTATTGCATTCCGCCAGCTCCAACAAATATACGTCCATGGATAGCGCAAATGGCAGAATAACAGCAGCAGCAAAGCGCATGTGAATATCGAGTCTTACTCATTAAGCTTCATGGAGTTTGAGTTGCTATGCCGATTAACATCGGAAATCTACTAGACGCTCTGAGGTTACCAAGAGTATATATCACTGCCTCCGTTTAGAGCGCCATCACAGGCTGACATGCCGGCCCAGTTACCAACTTTAACCCCCTGGTTCCCAAAAAAGTGTAACGAAAACATGCTAATGCATGTCGTAAGATACGACGTAGCCATGTTACTCGACATTTGTATGGATCATATGTTCAACATGTGGATAGGTGTATAAGAATTAAAGAGGTGCTCGGTCACAATGTCGTAGGTTATACACCTTATGGATCTTCGCGGCGAGTCCAATGGCGTAACTTGCACCCAGCAGGACGCAGAGCCGGTAAGAAATGATTTGAAGAGTGGCAAGTTATATCAAGAAAGCCGTCGAGAGCCGGAGCAAAAGGTACATAGGCTCAAGGAATCATGGATTAGGATTAGCTACAACTAACACTCACCACACATCGCGCAGGCAGTCACGCAGGCAGGAATTACTCTTCATCATTTTCATCATCGCCATCTTCGGCACACTCGTGAAGTCGAAGTTCCCGGCGCGTCCTCTTCCGTTCACCAGCTTCCTTAGGTGGCCGCCGCATGACAACCCGTTTTCCTAAAGTAGTAGGAATGGCAAGGCCTCCATCGAAGTCGTCATGCCATATTTCGAAGCAAGTCTTTGACACACCCTTGTACTGTCGACGGATTTTATTGCACAGCCAGCGCTGTCGGCGGAGCAGTGCTCGCAGAAGTAAGTAGTCGCATAGGACTTCTTCTTGCGGTCAGTCCGAAGAAGCGCACACGCTTTACAGAAGAGCTGGCGTCGTTTTTGGACCCCGGAAACTGTGACCCAGTCTTCGCACTGTTCCAGCTTGTGGTTTAGTCGAAGCGGAGCTCGCTTGCGCTTTGGGGTACTCGGCGGGGGTTTCTCCACAATGCCCACGAAATCTCCAGGCTTGATCTACAAAAGCTGATTTTGTAGGACGCCATACCACTCACCACGTGGCATCGCCGCCGTCCCTGCCATCTTTGCCGCTTCCTTGTGAGAGATGTAGACGTTGGCGAGAGCTAGGTCGACAAGTCCCAAAAATAGGCGCTTATGATACTTCTTTGAGTTTTGTCGATGTCTGGAGGGAGTAGTTTTGTAGGTGGAGCAGGTCGTGAACGTCCACTCCACCCATAACCACCTGGTAGTCGTTTACTGGTTGTGGGCACGGTACCGTAACCGCGCCAACCTGCTTGACGTTCCTCTTGATCGTCGACTCCTTCATGACCACGCCCGCACACAAGTAGTGTACGGGTTTCCGGTCCCACCATACTGGAAATCGAAACAGAACGCGAAAAGGTGAACTGTCCGCGTAAAATGCTAGCCGGGCGTGACTTTCGCGTTTCCTTGATATTTTGGTCAAAACCCAGTCTGTTAGCTCCGATCACGTAAACGCTCATGCCAAGTAACTCAATCGCCAGAAGGATAGACGAGTAGTACCGAGTTAGTACCAGTCAATGGCAACAACATGCCATGGTAACCGAGTGTTGCCGCCAAGGACAATCCTTAAATTGCGAACAACTGCCGCAGCGTCGGTCTTGTGGTCGTACTTGGTGTCCATAGTGTCACCCCTACGCTTGCCAGTGTGTATTTCAAATCTACAAACAGTATGTTACGACATCAAAGCTAGCAGCAATATATATGTCGTAATCCACGACGTTCTAATACTCACCTGTGACAATATGCAGTCCTTGATTCGCAGAACATGAATATCGTAGACCCAGACCGATGTGGCTTGTCAGGCATAAACATACGAGTCTTGTTACGCCTTAAAGTCGATGGAAGAATTCCTTCTTCGAATGCGAACATGGATGGTAATGTCCATGCAATCAGAAAGCGATGCTGTAGTCGGTCTTAAACTAGACGGAGCTTATAGACCTTGTCACGTCTCCTCTCAGCCTCGCTATCTACAAAATGCAGATCCCTTAGAATGTCCAGGCACCTGTTGCGTGCCATAAATCGTCCAATGTTTCTAGAGGGGACCGCACCGTCTTCTACCATTGACCAGTGAGCCGCAAACCGACGTTTCTGGGGGCACAACATGCGGACAGCCAGCAGCCCGATCACGTGCAGTATATCGTGTGACTGGTATCCTTGCTTTGTCTTCAAACGACGAAAAACAATTTCAGTGTCTCGCGTTGATTTGCTGACTGCTTCGCTCGGATGGCCAGCGCACGCCTTCAAACTTGTTGAAGGCTGTACCGATTCGTCTCAGTACATACCGTATTTCGCATGTAGAGAGCTGCACCCAATGTAGCGGCTAAAACGAGAACCTGCACAATCTAATATGCGTAATTATTATAAGATTGTAGAGAGGTCGAAAAGAACATAAAAAATAAAAATGTACAGAGTTCGAAGAAACGAGATATATTCACACAACCGCTTCTTCGATGATGCGATCAAAATCCTGATCAGCATCGACTGCAGAGCCTGCCAACGATAGCTGCTCCAGCTGGCCTACTAAAGAAGCAGCAGCGAGGCAGTCGTCGTCAAGCTGCAAGTCGCACTTCCTGTACCCATTGGCAATCGTCTGAGCGCTCAGGCCATCCCAGCTACTGCGTATCCACCTGCACATTCCTGAACGCCCTGGCGGTGCAAGCTTAAACTTTGCACCCTCCTCTCGCGGCCTTTCCAGCTGCTCCTGCAGGTCCTTAAGCCAGCACTGACGTAGACCACACTTGAACGGATAATTCCATGCCACGTCTGCCGGCTGGCAGACAGACGTAGCATTTGGCGGAACTTTCATCAGCACTACCTTAATAGAGGCGGCGTAGGCTTCGACTTCGCTGGTCCGGTGTCCACTAAAATCGTCCCAGAGGAGCAGCACCGGCTCCTCCGGGTATGATCGATTAGCGAAGTGGAACTCTAGAAACCGCATAGATAACTCTCTGTTCCACCACCCCTACGAATAAGAAATCCCAATATTTGGTTTAGCTCTTTAAGTATATAAGTCAATATGAACAACTTACCTTTTCCGTTTGCAAAGATTTGCAATCCCGTTTCTTGCTGTAGTCGCTTGATTTCCGGCCACGTCCGAACGCCGAAACCCCATCGCTTCTTGTTATTTTCCTCAAGCAAGTCTTTCTTCGTGGATGGCTTCATTATAACAAATCACATAATAACATAAAGTACATGGTAACCTGTTTGATCCGCATTATAAATGCGTGTAACACCGAGTTGGTGTGCCATCTTCTCGACTTCAATAGCAAACGTCTTCTTGACTTTCTCGCTATCAGCCGGGCTGCCTTGGCCTTGCCGTGTCGGAGCCCGCATGCTCAGTCGGTGCCGGCGCCAAAAACCTTTGATCCACTTGTCTGAGGCTTTGAAGTTGTTGCTGCCAGCTTCAGTGGCGACCCGCCTTGCTTGTAGGGCCAGCATCCGACGCGAAACAGGTACACCCTCTTCCCTCAAGCCGTTCACCCACTCCACAATATCTAACTCTACCTCTTTAGACAAAATTGTGCCTACTACGACGGCCCGCACCTTGCTATAGCTACCTTTTCGTTCTTTAAGGGCAACCTCGAGCTTCTTCTGTTCTCTCCCCCAGCGCTGAATCATCGTCCGCTTTGAGTGATAGAATTCCGGTGCTAAGTCATGCCAGAAGTGCTCAATTGTGCTACGCATCTTCGGCAGCGGGGCATTTGCCCAAAACGACAGAACCTCTAGCTTCTTAGCGACGGAAACACTCTTGATAATGTGCTTGGTATGATGGCGACCCTTGCCGCCGAGGCGTGGTCTTCCCGCTTGGCGCGGCTTGCCGCGCGCCATACGCACACAGGATGGTCGAACGAGTGTGGTTGGCGCGAAAATTAATAGTGTTAAAACCGATGGTGTTGGTGCGGTGCATCGCTCTACATGCGTTTTCGGGTTAGTGTAAACGACGACTCTGATTGGCTCATACAAGGGTGCATCTCTTATGCCGGTGCAGCTCTCTACATGCGAAATACGGTATTGTCACCCAAAGTGACTTAGGCATGAAGTAAAATAATGTCGGAAGCGGGGAATGGCAAACCTCGAGCAAGAAAGCCACTGGATGTGCTTCTTCCATTGTAAGAGCGGGGTACGACTCCCCATGCTGGTCAAACGAAGACGATGGTGGTGTCCATCTCATTGCGCGCAAAGCATCTTCCCGTGTTTGTACGGCATGCCTATCGAGGCTGCTGTTACCGACTTGAAGCGATTCGACAAATGCTCCATCCAGCTTCACAGCATCGGTACCAGACACGACATCATCATCCACAAGGTCAGCGCGAACTTGCACATCCTTATCATCCTTAACGTCGTCATCACTTTCACCCGAACTCAAACTCTCGTAGGCATTCATGCTTTCGTCGTCAGAAACGTAATTGATGTCATATTTCACAGCTGTACGTGGGCGCAGTATGCGTGATGTCGTCGCTGTCGGCGCTGGGTTTTGTTCTTCATCGCTTTCTCTACCATATGCCCCAGACAACAGCTGCATCACCGATGCTATCAATCCTGAGCTAGCAGACGACTCAATCCACGTTTCCCAGATCGATACGAGCACACAGCTTTCGCAGAACACGATGAATGGATTGTTTGGCACACCGAGTGATGAAGACGATGATGTCCCAGGAGGCAGTCACGAGGGCGTTTGATTTGTCGCAGAGCGATGTGCAACTTGAGGATTCGCATGAAGCCGCACCGATGATTGGGCCATAATGAGCGGCGCCTATATAAATATATAGGCCAAAGCCCAAGCAAGACCCCGGCGTGTAGCTGTAACATAATGGGAAGATGGTTGAGGCTGTTAGAGCTGTCATATTCGCATTTTACGACTGGGGGACACGAAAATGGCTAAAGATTGACGACATAGAGGAAGAGGGGGGGGGGGCTCTGAGTGAACTGAGATATGGATGGGGATGACCTTCGAGGATTCGTCGAAAGCTCTGCACGTACCTTTTATGATACATTTGAGCTCACCAGAAAGTCTTGTAGTCATCGTAGTGGGCCGGAAAGCTCTCTTGGAGTCCGAGACTGAAGCTCGGCGAGCCAGGTAGTGCTTCGTTCGTGGCCTGACCGGTGGTGGCTGACCTTTGTAGAGAGGCGAGCATGCATACGGCGTTGGTAGTGGGTGCTAGCAGGCGGACGTCCCTTACCAAAACATGGTGCTTCTGAGGACCAGAAAAAAAATGAACCGCCAGTCTTTGTGACGCGGCACACTGCCTAATCACGGGGTTGGACAAAAGCTGCGTGAAGGCGTGTCTCGGTATGAAACGTTGTTTGCCCATCCCATGTTGGCATTTTTCCAAAATAGTACGAGCAGATCAGGAAATGAAAAATGAATTGAATTATTCGCCGGAAATGTATTGCAATTAAAGGAGAGATTGCATGAAAGCTATATATTGCAAAATCCAACTGGAGTGGAATTTGCAGTACCCAATTGCTAATTGCTGCACGGATCTTTACAAATCGTTGCGACCCTCGTTCTTCAGAATGTGTCTTTATCGGCCACACCTTCGGGCAAATCATACACAAACTGACACCCCAATACGCAGTATCATTCCCTGTCAATACCGATCATCTCAAAATACGCGCTCTGACGCTATTTTCAGCCCTTTGCTAAATTCGTACACGGCTGGGCAACACCTTGAGCTAAATTGCCGCGTTCATGCAATATAGCATGGACGAATACGAGTAGTACAATACAACTGTGATTTCAGGAGCCACCATTGAGATTCATGAACTCGCAATATTTGAAGTTTAAACTACTCTGCTGGCACATTAACATCACTTTAGGGAAGAAATAGAATTCACAAAAAATCACCTCCAGCCGACAAATTTCAGAAAATAGTACTTTGATCAAGTACTATTTCGGCCGTATCAATTACTTTCCGAGGCAGTTTACTCTTCCTGCGCCAACAGCGTCTTGATATCCTCTTCCAATGACAACGGACGGTCTTTCGGAGCGAAACGCTTGTACGGCTGTCCATTACGGTCCACCAGGAACTTGGTGAAATTCCACTTCACAAAGTCACCAAAAGAACCAGGGAGTTTCGTCTTCAGGTACGTGAACACCGGACGAGCCGTGGCACCGTTCACGTCGTGCTTCTCGAAGAACGGGAACGTCACATTGTACTGCTTCACGAACTCCATGATCTCCTCGTGGGCGCCAGGCTCCTGACCAGCGAATTGGTTGCACGGGAACGCCAGCACCTCCAGACCTTCGTCCTTGTACTTCTCGTACAGCGTCTGCAGCTCCGGGTAGTTCGTCGGCGTCAGACCGCATTTGCTTGACACATTCACGGCCAGCACCACCTTGCCCTTGTATTTGCTCATGGACACCTCATTGCCGGCCATATTGAAGTCCTTCAGCTCATAAAATGACTTGATCTTGGCCGTATCTTCCACGTTAAACACCTCACGGTACTGCGCACCAGCGTTGATGAACGAGTTAAGCCACTCCTCCTGCTTCTCTTTATTCTCGGCCGAAAAGATCTCCGTGATCTTTGGGTTTACTAGCTTAATACCGTGTTGCATAGCATCACTAAATTCCACTGTGGCATCATCGGCCATGTTAATTTCGGTACAACTTTCCAAGGCCATGTCCGTATTGAAGACGTAAACATTCTTGCTTTGGTCGTTGACCACCACGTAAAATGGTTCCGTTTTACCTAAAAGCGTGGCCAAAACCCCCTTTTTCTTTCGGTACAAAGTCCCTGCTTGGATGGCTCCACTCTTGACGCTCCAGACCGACCTGGCTTTTACGTCGGCAAGTCCATTGCCGACCGCCAGGAATTCCGAGTTGAGTGTCTTAAAATTGAAGTTTTCCACGAGATTCGAGCTCTTTTTAGGCGTCAGAAAGCCGCTCTGCACCAAACCATCGGCTACTTTTGCAGTGTATTCGGGGGAGTTCGAGTTCTCGGTTGATGACACGCAAAAGATTGTCTCCGGAGACTTTTGGGAATGTAGAGCGAGTAAAAAGCTGCTTCTTGACCTCCGGGGATAGAAGGTGGGTCTGGATTCTACTCACATCGTGCTGTAGCGCGGTTGGAAGCGCCCGGAAGTGACGCCACAGGTCGAACACCCGACCTTGGAGAGCCATCGGGGATACGACAATACTGTTGAGACCACGGATTGGCTGATAATCTTTATTTTCGGATAAAAGTGAATTTTTCGTCAGTTATGTGCATGTACCTTATATAGCAGTATTTGCTCACGATACAACGCTATCTGGCGCAAACAATACAGTTTCAAATTTAAAACGCCTTAATAATTCTAAGCTGCGATATTTTCGCATATAGCTCAATCACTTTTAATATAACTAGGCTGCAGCTGTAATATTCAAGTATACATAACAGCGTGGTATCATTGGCAAAAATATGTATCTGAAGCTAGTGCGACATCGTATTATCTATAATATATCTGGTTTTCGCGAAATCCTGGCCATTTAATTTGGAAAAAAGTCAAAGCACAGAGAGGAAGCTCAGATTCACTTGTCAATTTCCAAGATGCCCAGTACAGCCAGCCAAGTGTTCGACCGCCTCAACCGACAGTGGGAGGACGAGACCTCCAACCTCATTGGCAAGTTGGAAAGTGAGGAAGATGAAGTGTCTCGCTGCTGTATTTGCACTTGTAGAGTACCTGATATTGTACTGGCGAGATGAAATGCAACACCAAACATTGCCCCTTCACAACTTCTCACCCAATTACCCAATTTATATGAGCTTTTTTTTGTTGGAAAGATAATGATTTCTTCTCTTAAGTAGTCATAATCATCCTTGAATATCTGCTCAAATTCACATGCTACACTTAATCGAAAAGTGCGTGTCTTTCGTTCCGCCCAAAAAATCGAGGCTATGTTCTTGACATACGGCATCAGATGTTTTGGTCCTTACAAACTTTAGTATTACAATCAACAGTGCCCTTTTTACTCATTTCTATGCACATTTGATCCTAGGAAGTGGGGCTGTCGGCGATGCGTTTAACACTGCATGCAGCAATCCCTACGCTGCTCCTGTAGCTAAAACCAACTTCTGCAGATGCGTTGCATTCCAAGCTGCATTCTGGCGTAAAGCTTGTCACTTTAGGCGTCTTTGTTTATTAAATATCGCAAGAAATGTTCTGTGCATGCATGATCAGCATCAATTTCCCGCAGACGTTTGAGCTTCCACCATTTTAATAAAAGACAAGAAAGTCAAACAACGTGTGTTTGTCTGTGATCTCTGTGCTACCCTGTTTCCATTGCGGGTCTGCCGGCATTAATCCGATAATTACTTTTGTATTTACGAGCAAAACAAAAAAATGGTGGTGCATTTCATCTCGCCAGTACAATAGTGTACCGGTATTGATAACAAAGAGTAATTCATAACTAAGGTATAGGCAGAACCCAGGTGTCGTTGAAATAGACCGACTTTTGGGTAGAAGCCTCCATAATTTAATTTTTGGGTCACAAATGTAGCCAACTGTATATCATAGGATCGTACTTATACCAGAAGTAGCATGAGATGCGAAAATACTAAAAACAGCAGGGTAAATGCAAAAAAACAAGCATGTGCTTTTCCAAGAATCATGTTTTCCGGAATAAGGCATGGAATTCGCATAAAATTAGATTTTATGCGAAATCAAGCACCATACGCTAAGACACACTTTTTGAGACTGTTATCTACTTTAAGGAAGAGTTCGGTGTGCGCGACTACCTGGGTCGACGTTCGGGGACTCTTTATCAAGCGAAGCCAATTGCTGGAACGTTTTACTTTCAGTAGTGCGCCTTCTACATTTTCAGGAACATTGATTGGTGTAGTCATTGTGGCTTAGAGAAGGATAGAAGCATGGGTTGTGGCTCGTATCGCACCGCAACTTCGGTTGATGAAGAATAAACGTTATTGTCTTCATAGATCGGTGTTTTGCTGATGGCTAGTACGCTAGCTAGCTCCAGAGCCGCACAAAGCATTTCTCTCTTCCTCACCTACAGCTACACTGCGTAGTATTACTCGATGGCCTCCTCACAACATGTAGGATTTTCGATCATGCCTTCCAGCCCGAAAAAGAAGAAGTGTGAGAGTTACAAAGGTAAAACAGCAATAGTCCTGTTGCTTGTGTTAGGAGATCTAACTCAAGATATATTCTTAACATTACAGTGATTGTACTCGGTGACAGCGGTGTTGGAAAGTCGAGTTTAGTGCGCCGAATGACCAACTCAGGAAATTTGACCGGTACTGCAATTCGCAAAGACTACTTGTCAAAAATAGCGCTCGTGGAAGGTGCCTCTGCACCATTGCAGGTGCAACTGTGGGATACTGCAGGCCAAGAGAAATTCGGAGCCGCTCGACTGCCAAGCTCATTCTTTCGTCTTGCAGATGCCGCGTTGGTTGTGTACGACGTAACAAATCGGCAAAGTTTCATTAGTTTGCTGCAATGGGTGTTGCAAATTCAAACATACCGAAGTACAGAGCCGGCAGACTCAAACTTTTCCTTCGTACTCATTGGACACAAATGTGACCTCGCAAACGCAACACGCCAAGTTTCGGAAAATGTAGGACGAGGATTCGGCAACTTGATCGCAGCTTCACACTTTTTCGAGTGCTCTTCGGAAGATGGCACCAATCTACAGGAATGTTTCGACGCTATTGCTGTCGCTCTTTCTAATGGAACACCGTGGACAATGTCAAATGTTCCACTACCACGCGCAATGACCCTGGAAACACGTGGGTCATTTAGACTTGCAGCTCCGAGCAGTGGCGTTGACGTTACTTCACCAATATCGGAATCGGCATCAGCCCGTAGCCCTACTTTGAAAGCTCTGTCGGCAAACACCGAATTGTCCATCGTCGGCAAGCCATATATCGGGACGCTCGCCGTTCTATTATCAATGCCAATGGTTCTCCTATGGCTTGACGACGACGCTCTTCTGCATTGGGCTGACGCATTTCGAATCTAAATACTACGTATTATAGTAGAAACCTTTCGAAAGAAATGATTAAGCAAGTTTGAAAGGGTTAAGTAGGCAAAGACATTTTGGATTTTAACACGAAAAAAAAAAACGAAAAAAGTTGCAGTTGCATCGCCACAACCGCCAAAAATGCACTCACGGTCTTCTGCCTGCTTGTGACGAAATTGACGTCGGTGTGGCCGTCGGTTCCTCGGCTTATGCCACAATCTTAGGGCCAATCACGGGCACGTAGCTGAGCACCGAGACTGTGATGCCCTTGACCGTGCCGTACGTGGACGATGACGCGTGCACTACCTGTGTCTTGGTGTAGTCGGCCACACCGGCCACCGTGTTGTACACGGCCGACGAAGCGGACGAGACCGTGTTGACGGTAAAGTCCTTGGTCTGGACGGCCGACTCGCCCGTCTTCTTAACTGCCCTGGAGGCCAAATCCACAGCTTCGTCCTTCTTTTTAAGAGCGTACAGCTGACCATTGTACAGCGTGTTGAAAACGGCCGAGATGCCGGCATCCACCTTATCGTCCAAGGCGTTAAAACCGGGGCCAACCCAAGCCGAGTCAATGTCGAACAGCGTCTTGCCACTCACCTTGGTGAGTACCGTGTCGGCCGTGTTCTCGCCGAAGCGGGCGAACGGGGCCACCACACGAAAGCTCGTGGTGTAGTTGTACACGTTCTTTGTGGTGTCGTAGTAGTACGACGCACGCATGAACCATGGCCGGTGGGTCTCAAACGCGGCCAACGTTGTCTCGCTCGACTCCCAGTCGGCACTGTACGATAGCAACGCCGTGCTGGGCGCGCCCTTAGAGCCGAACGTGAACGTCATCTTACGGTTCACTGGGTTGTTCTGGAACTCGGCCAGCGACTTTTGCGTGCTCACAAGAGGCTTCTTGACCTTCTCCTGAAGCAACTCGATGGTAAGCTTGGAATCAGTCGCGGCTTCGTGCACACGCAGGGTGGCGTTCTCGTCGATACGCACGTCGTGTTTCTTGAACCTAGTCGTGTACTCGGACTTACCCACGGCGAAGCGCACGGCCAGCTTCTTCCCGTAATAATCTTCCTCACCGAAGTTGGCCTCGATATTGTGCACCTTAATCGTGAGCGATCCGGAAATTGGCATTGCGGTTTTTGTAACGGGGGAAATGGGATCTGTGTCTCGGACGACGAATTTAGAAATGAGCTGGTTCTCTGATGCATGTCGTTCCCATGCAACCCGAATGGATACCATGATGCGCGCCCGCCGTCATTGGCATTCGAAAAAACGCAGAAAATGGGTCCATCTATGGTTGGATGTCTCGAGACAATGGCTGCAAAAGGTTTGAGCGAAACTGAAGAAAGCTGCTTGTTTTAAGAAAGTGCACGTTAGTAAAACACGCAGCTTCTTCAGTAATATAAAAGAGCATCTTCATAGCATTTTAGTTATAAAATGACAGGTTTCAGGAAGATAAAGAAACAAGAATGGATACAATATTTTAGTTTATTTTCAATTGTCAGTGCCCATTTCTCCAAAATGAGCGAATGCCTGGTTTCTGCGCAAGGTCCGATGACGGTTTCGTCCGTTGTGTCGCCGATGTCAACCTGGACTCTCGGTCATGCTTGTCCAGCTCCGACTGTCGGGCCGACACTGTCGGCACTGCCGACTCAGCAGTGCGGAGTGTCAGCAAAATACGCAATCAAGACGAACTACGGTGACATAAATAAACGTTTCATTCCAACAACCGAGTGTGCTTGATTAATAATCTAAAGTTAAAATCACTTGCCTACCCAGTCACCTCTTATACCCGTAAGCCCGCAGCGTTTCGGGCCTCACCAGCCCCGATCTAACTTGTTTTTGTGTTGTCACCATCGCCACTTTAGACACTACAACTGCGCTCCCATTTCGAACTATAGGTGGGGAAACATCCAGGCACATACCTAAGAGCTTTTGGACATTGCGCGCCTCTCGGGCCATCAACGCGATCAGGTTGCCATCACCGTGCGCGTCACAACTGGTTCGAAACGTCCCACTACTGCACAGCCACTTGAGACTCATCTGTAGGTTCTCAAAACTAGCCAACACACTGCGCAGCCCGTGACTTGCCGCGAGACTCCGAAAGACCAAAAGAATCTCGAGTACGAGCACAATCTTCTTGGGCGACGACTGGTTCGAGTGTATTTGCAGTTGCTCTATCATGAGCGGAAGTAATCTATCTCTTACGATACACGAGTTTTCAAATCGAGGCACTAGGCTTGAGTACTCACTCCACTGCCGTACAACACGGATTGCCTCCAGCAGTACAAGCACAACGACCTCGTGCTCTGCAGATCTCGAAACTTTGCTGGAATGATGGTAGTGATCGATGATCGAACACAGAGGATCCAGAAGATTATGGTCGCATATCAGTTGCTCGGCCAGTAGTGCAACATGCAACTCGCCTTCGAATGTTTTGCTTGGTAGCGCAAAAATGTACGTGAGCGAGCTGAGTAATACATTCATCGCTTCCGGTTGAAGGCGCTATTTCTCTAGCACTGCAACGAACCACCAGATTGATCGAGAAAACATCATTTCCACCACTTTTGCAGGGGTTTGCCGAAGTAGAAGCAACACCATTTGCAGCCATACGCGAACGGAATTTTGTTGCCGATTGAAAATTGAAAAACTGTCAAGCATGCATCTCGAGATTATTAGTGTCCATTTATCACCTTGTATCGATTTCTCGTCGTTGAACAATATTGAGCGCGCTTGCCGAGGAGAGGAATACATTGCCACCAACACACGTAGAGCCAGTACCACAAGTGAGTGCGCTCGTCTTCGTGGCGTCTCAATGTGAAGGAACCGACCCATGATACTAGTCAGATCATCCAAGTATTGTTGTGGACAAAGTTTGGTGATATTAACCTCGTTGCATTGTAACAAAGCCTCACTTGCACGCAGTGAGGACTCCTGAACCCGAATCGACAACGGGTGGGCCGATCGCATGGCTAATAATTCATGCCACATTTCACACTGACCGGCTTGACACTGGAAGCGACGCGATGCATGACAAGCCAACGAAATCACTCGACCCAGGGTCCATTGTATTTCTTCTTCACGCAAATGCATTCGCACTAGCTCGCTTAATAATCTCACGCGTGTCTGAGTTGCCAATGTCGAGTCCACTGCACACTGCGCCTGAGGATTATCTGCCAATGCGTCGACCACTCGAATCAGGTTAGTGTAGACGCTCTGAGCGCAAGTCAAACCTGCTTCCAGTTCACTAAAGGCATCATTGATCTCCTGCTTAGTTGCTGTCTTGCTGGCTGAGCTCATTAGTTTCTCGCTTGGATTATTTTCTCCAACGTACCCAAAATAGCGTGAAACGAACATCTCGAGGCACAGACCCATATGTGGGACATCGGCTCAACCGTTCAGCGGTTGAAGCTGCGAGCGCGGAAAATTTGTGGTTCCCAGCTTAGTCGACATGCCGCTGAAAATGAAAGAGGTAATAACCCGAACTGCTTGATCATGAGGACGGATGTCTTAGCCACGGTCGATGAAAAAAGGATGCCGCTAAACCAAAACGAAACAGTTTAAAACGGTTTGCTTTTTGGCGGGCTAGGTGAAATCTTAGGTATGTAATGTACCAGAGGTCGCAAACGTAATTTTTCGGCTAACCGTAACCGTCTAAAAGCCTGATCATCGAGGTTCTGAGGACCATACGCCGTTCGGACAGCGCGACAGCTTAGCCGAAAATTACGTGTAATTTATAAATAGCATAAAAGGCGAAATATCACATTCTTGTTCAAAAAATGCTGACGCAACCTTAACTTGGTTAAAGGCGCGAGCCGTTGCCAAAACTCTTGATAAAAGGTACCCGTCCGTTTTTCAAAGAGCCAAAATTTCAGTCAGCCGTACTTTCGAGTAGACATTTCCCGAACGGGTACGGTTAACCATTTGCCACCTTAAAAGAAGGAGGCATTTTCGCTCGCCTGGTCCCGCTGAGAATTTATACCAGCCCTAGGACTATATTGCGTTTCCGCCAAAAAGACTGGTCCTAAGAAAGGGACGATAGGGATAGATATGATTTAAAGCTGAATTAATGAGCAGATAACCATATAAATTTAGTTTTGACTAATACAATCGAGCGCATTTTATGATTATAAACCAATAGGTAAGGAGTATAGAGGTCCTATGTAAGGGCTCCGATTTGATCTTAAGGGTGCCTTTTAATCCCCTAGTTCCCTACGTCGTAAGTTGACATAGCGCTTTTGTATGTCGTAAGCTACGACATTGAGAGCGGAACAACAGAGATTGGCTCGAGTTGCATTTTTCAATACGTTGTTCAGATGAAATACAGAGTAATAGACCAAAGAGGCAATTGAAAAAAATCAACAGAGAGAATGTCGCAGGCGACGGCGGCGGGTTTTTCCCGCGCGCTGGTTCGGATGCGCGCCATTCAGCAGATTCTTAAATGATTGGCGTCTGGCAACTGGCCACTTGGACCCTAACCCAGCTTCGTTATTGATGTGACTATGTCAATGTTTCACACGTCTGGCGGCAGATTCGTGCAGTAGGCTGGATTTACAAGCGGCGGAGAGGTTTCGATAACGAGGGAGCTATGTCAACCCTGGCAGTACGGGTGGGTATGCAGGCGAGAGCGCGCTAGTAGCGCGCGCGTTGTAGTCGGGCCTCTTGGATGAGTTCAATGATGGTGCACATCAAGGAACAAGGACGGCAGCGGCGCGGAAAAGAATGGCGCAGACCACAAGCGCGGCGGCTGGGGACAACAAGCACGGCGGCAGTGAGGCCCACAAGCGTGACGACTGGGGCAACAAAAGCGGCGGGGGAGCAGACAGTTAGCACGACGGAGGCGATGCAGCCATCCCCAACCGGATATCCTGCAGAAAATTTCAAGGCGTCACAGATTCTCAAAGAACCCTGAGTAAATTATTTTACTCACCAAACACGTCGGTAGTTAAGCTTTTCCATGTTGTGGTCCATCATGCGTTTAGCTTGTTGCCTAGCGATTCCAGCTCGATGCTTCGCAGCTGGTTTTGCCAGTGACCTACAGTTGCTGTCGGAGGAATCTGAGCTCGAAAGCTGGGCCAAGAGGAGCGATGAGGAGCAGAAAGAGCCGGATCCACCCGTCCAAACTCTACGCCTCGAGCGCGTGTCAAGTATGACGTGACCCTTGTCCTGGAGGACGATAATATGAGCGATTACGAGAGCTTCAGCTCCAGCGAAAATGAGGGTGATTATATGGGAGAGGACGACGATGAACCTGAACGTGGTGGCATTGAAGATGACAATGATGGGCTCGGAGGGCGACGCAGCTGACATGAATGAGGCGTTAATCGCTTCGCAGATGATCGAAGAGAACTCGCTGCGAGGGGCGGTAACGAAGCATCGTGAGGCCACGTTGCGTGCTACTCAATGAACGTCCGTATCCTCTAGCTTGGAGGTGGGTGGTAGCGCGTACGCTGGCATGAACGACGAGAAGGTGCATCCCGTGGCTGCGTTGCGCGCCTTGACCACGCACCGCTCCGGACGTCTATTTATTTTATGCCGAGCTCATTGTGGGTCCTGATCAACGCTCAGACTATCCAGTACACTCTCCAGCAAATCAACCGACACGCACAAGCAATTCAAGACAAGTAGCGAGGCGGGAGAAGAAGAATAATAGTCGAGTCTTTGAAGCAGATCTGCCGGAGGCTGAAAAAGAAGCGCAGATATGATGCGCATGAGATCCTTCACGTGCTTCGATTGCTTTTCACGCGGATGCTATGCCCGAAAAAACGTCGTTTCACCGATCACTGGGCGATGATGGAAAACAGCGCAGTTCCAGCCTGCAGCTTCGACCCTTAATGGCGCGCAATCGATGGCAAACCATCCAGCGCGATCAACGTTGTGGACAACACTTCCCCGCGAGCGCGAGACAAGCTCTGAAAGCTGTGACCGATCGTTGACAAGCTTTAAGATCGATTCCTGGCGGGGTGGTCGCTTCCAGCAGTGTGTTCCTTAGACGAGAGGTTCTGCTGTCGACGTCCCGGCGCAACACGATCCGCATGTTCATGTCGGGTAAATCCCACCGTTACGGCTCGAAATAAGTTATTATACGCGATTCGGGGACTGCGTATTGCCACAGGTAGCTACCTTTTTGTTTGAGATTGTAATGCCATAAGTTATGATTTGCATCATTGATTCTC